CGCACGCGCGGCCCGGGCCGCCTGTGGCCGCGCCGCCCTCCAAGCTCGAGGAGTGGCCCCTGCAGCCCGAGCAGATGGCGAGCTCACACATCCGCAGCTTCCCACTCGCAAGCGCGACTGCGGCCCTCCCTGAGCCGCCCGCGCTCCCCAAGCCCTGCGTCGCCCCGCGCAGCGCCCGCGGCGCGCCGCCGCAAAGCGCGGCAGAGGCGCGCAGCAGGCTTCACGCTATGCTGGAGGGGCTGCCATGACCCCTTGGCCGGGGCCTGGGCACGCCTGGGCCTGCGCGGCGCAGCGCTGCACGCTGCCCCTCCCCGCCGCGCCTCGTCTTGGCTGCCGGTCGGCGGCCTCTCGTGTTTGTTCGGTATTGGCAGACTGCGTTTTGTGGTGTGGAGAAGCTCCCATTGCCTTTGGACAGCACCCTGAAAATGACAATGCGGCCCCTGACCTGACCAACTGTCACAACCAGACAAACGGACGCGCGCCGCACTCGGCGCCCACCCGTCCCTCGCTACGATGCGCGAGCGCTTGCCGGCGCATTTGCTGACCTTGACTTGACTTGACCGCGGCCTAGATCAGACGCAGGGGGGGTTACTGAGTGGCGCGTGGCCACTTACTTAGCTTGCAGCAGCACGCGACAAATCCTCATTTCTTTTTTGAGTTTTCACTCAAACGTTGTGCATGGGATGATCAAAGGCGAATTGCCTGCATCATGCTCATCCTCAGTGTTCATTTTTGTGGAAAGAGCCTGCATGTGATGCTTGGACACGCCCCTTTGCTTCCCTGCGTTGGCGGAACAGGTAACGCACGGCCCAGGGGATCCGTCCGGCTCCCTTCAAAGGATTCAACCCCCAAATGGAGCTGGGGGGCCTTTGTCTGGCGACGTTCGCGACGCCGTCAGCCGGACCCATGCGCAACCTGTGGCGCAGAGGGTGAGGACGGCCCACGCGGGCCGCCGCTGGCGCCGCAGCGCCGCGGGCTCATCCCAGGATTGGAGGTCCTCGGGACAGGTCCTGGATGCAGCGCTGTGCTGATAGGAAGGGAAGGGAGACTAGGCCGCTGGGCCATGGCCCCGTTTGTGATGTTCAATGGTTGGTGGGCTGGCTCTCCACGACATGGTCAGCACATTTGATGCAGGGCGGCAGCTGAGCTCTGGAGCGGGTGCAGCGCAAGGCGAGCAGCCAAGACCCTTCTGAGTCTCAGACTGAGTAGACAAGAGGGTTGAACCCCTGGACGCGGCCTAACCAGCGTGCCAGGCAAGGGTGCTTGTTGCCCCACCAAGGGGGCAGGGCCAATCAGCAGTCAAGATGACAGCTGGTGAGCAGGCCCCAGGTCTACACAGAGCCGATGCATTCTATTAATCATATTATTGGCGTGTACGAAGTGCTTGTTCAGCGGCGCGGCGAGGTTATGGTGGGGGGGTTTGATTCTGCCAACTCCCGATCCAGCCGCCGCAAAGGCGACACCTGCAAACAAACCGAAATTTCTAATTAACTCAACCCTTCGTCATCCTAGTTTCTATGAATGGCTGTCCGCGAGGGGAGTCTTTGAACAGGCCTTGAGCGGCAGTAGGCGATGCATGAATACGCTCGTGTTATGGAGCACAACCCCATGATGGGCGTCGATAGCTCGGGGCTGCAGCCTCCCATTGGGGCAGCAAACCAGCAGCTCGGGGTGCCCTTCCTCGGCGCCATTTCAACCATGTACGAGCAGCATGGCGCGTCTTTCCATCAGCAGCAACAGCAGCACGCCTTCATGCAGCAGCATGGCCTCCAAGCGGCGGCGGCTGCCACGGCAGCGGCGCAGCAGCAGCAACAACACCAGCGAGGACCGGCCGGACCGCCGGTCGGCGACCTGCACAGGCTAAAGATCTGCGGCGTCCCCGCGGGCACCTTCTCCGACGCCAAGCTGCGGCAGCTATTCGAGCTCTGCGGCAAGGTGCGGTCACGGTGGTTGGGTAGAGGCGTCAGCTGGCAACACCCGATGACACGCGCGCTCAAATATCGCCACTGATCTTCCGCCGCCGCTCCGCTGCGCCCCGCCGCCCTTCCCCTCTTCCCCCCGCCCAAAAAAAACCGGCCCTGCATACCGCTTGGCGGCGCAGGTCGCGGAGGCGCGGATCGTGTACGACCGCGATTCTGGCCAGGCGGCCGGCTACGCCTACGTGTCCTTTGCCACCAAGGCCGAGGCAGGCGCGTCGGCGCCCCGCCCCCAAGCGCGCCCACACACGCGACCCGCGCCGGCCGCCAGAGCCGCGCCCGAGCCCCCGTGCCTGGGTTCTGCTCGTGGCCCTTACCCTGCTGCCGACGCCC